TATATACTTGCTGAGGGTAAGCCACAAATTTGCTCTTGAGCTGTAACACAAGTCATTATAATTGTAAGTTAAAGACAAACCAATTGCTTAGGTGAGGCATATCTATTTTGGATACTTATACTGAAAAAAAGTTCTGGGGAGGGTATTTCCTGCTCAGGGATTACCTGTTCTATTGCTTATCTCAATTAGAATGGCTAATTGTGTATCAAAGAAAAAGTTCTCTTTATATTTATGAAACTGAGTCTAAGTCTTAAAATAGTTGAGAATCATTCGTCTCTCTTGTCACTGACCAAGTGTAGTAACACTTCCAGCAACCGCATTCACACAGAAAAGAATGGAAGTGACACATATTTCTTTAGTTCAAAAGAGTTCAGAGCATACAAGATTAAATAAAAGAAATAATTGTAAAACTTCAGGTCAAATCTTGAGATTTCTCTTATGAGCTGGTCTGAGTTGGACTTCCTTTGAAGAGAGCCCTTCTGGAAATCTTCCATGTGGGTGGAGAGCAGAAGGAGAAATAAGCCTTATCATGTCAGTCTACAGAAGAGTTCTCAAGTGGCAGAACATAGTATTAACATTTGGAGAAGTCAAATATTTACATATTTTTGAAATGTTAAATAAGTGATTATAGTGTGTGGCTTTTAAAAACAACAAATTAGCCTGGATAAGGACTGGTCAGTGACCTTGTTGAAGATCTTTCATATTAATTAATTTAACTATATTTCATACAAAATATAATAAATGAACATAGGCTATCACATGCAACCAGCAAAATAAATATTCAACTTATATTTAAGAGGAAAGCATTATACTCTCAATATTGATGTAGTGGCAAAAATGCCATAATTTGTCTTGAGCTAATTAATGAATAAATTCTAGACTGGAAGGGAGAGTACAACATCAACAAATTTCAACAATGAATAAGAAAATTGTGGGAAACTTTAAATCTGAGAATATGAATATCTGATAATGTAAAACATAAGAGAGTTCTAAGGCAATTAGCTAATGAAAATGAGAGTCAGAGACAAAGTCAACTAAATCTGTGAATATAATAAAGGTTCCGAAAATTTTAAATCTGGTATAATGTACTACATCATAAGATCACTAACATCTTATGTTTTTTAATATCAAAATATGTAATGGGAAACTCCCAAATGAAAATTTAAAAAGGCATGGGGAAGAGCTTTTACAAGTATGACACAAACAGAAATTTATACAAGAGAACACTGAGAAATTTAACTACATAAAAACCATTTTAAAATTTGCAGCACAGTAATTGTATACATTAAAAACAAAGTTAAGGGGCACCTGGGTGTCTCAGTCAGTTGAGTGGCTGACTCTTGATTTATGCTCAGGTCATGATCCCAGGGTCATGGGATTGAGCCCCTCATTGATTTCTGCACTGGGAGTGGAGCCTGCATGGGATTCTCTCTGTCTCTCTGTCTCTCTGTCTCTCTGTCTCTCTCTCTCTCTCTCTCAACCATTTTCTCTCTCTCTCCACCACTGGTCCCTCTCCTCAACTCTCACTCTCTTTCTCTCTAAAATACAAACAAAACAAGCAAAAAAAAAGTTAAAAAAAATCACAAACTTAAGAAAATATTTGTAACAAAAATCATGATATTATATATATGTACATATATATATATTCTACAAAGCAAAAATAAACAACCAAGAACATAGAAAACAAGGTAACTGAAATCTTTGGATTGTTCATGGAAAAGGAAAATGAAACAATTTGAGAATATTAAAAATATAATTTTACTTAAAAGAAATAAAAATGGAAACTACTGGTACCGCTGTTTGCCTAGGAGTATCAAAGATCAGAGCATGTTGACCAGTAAATAAGGAGATGGACACTTTTATACATTGTAATTTGATAGAACCTCTGTAGGAGGCAGTTTTAAGAATGCACACATACACACATATCTGTTTGATCCAACTTTTCTACTTTTAGGAATTTATAATGCAATGGTAAAATGAACCATGAAAAGGTTAATGGTAACATTGCTTATAACAGAAAAAGATGAAGATGATCTAAATGTTATTAGTAGGGAGCTGGCTAAATATAACCATACAATGAAATGATATGTGATTATATAAAAAGAACAAGAAAGTTTTTAAAAATTTTTTATGTTTTATTTATTTCTGAGAGAGAGAGAGAGAGAGAGAGCGCATGAACAGGGGAGGGTCAGAGAGAGAGGGAGATACAGAATCTGAAACTGGCTCCAGGCTCTGAGCCAGCTGTCAGCACAGAGCCTGACGCAGGGCTCGAACCCACGAACTGTGAGATCATGACCTGAGGTGAAGTCGGACACTTAACCGACTGAGTCACCCAGGCACCCCAACAAGAAAGTTTTTTTATGAGCTGATACCAAAAGAACTTTAAAGCACATGAGAAAAAAATCGAGGTGCAAATTAGTGAATATAGTATTCTATTAGTTGCATAAAAGACAGGGGGAAGAATATAGTGTGTGCATATGCATACACACACACCCAATTTCTTAATAAGCCCAACATATCTCAGTAAGTATACTAAAAACCTGGAGGGTTATACACAAATAACTGGTTGTCTCTGAGGAGGAGAATTGGCTGGGTAAGGGAGAGCCCTTTCCTCGTATCTTCTTTATTAAGGATTGAATTTTAGCTGTATCAATGCATTACAAATCACAAAAGTACACAAGTTGCCTTCCATCTATAATACCATTCCCCTCACTTGACCTTCTCCTCGCCAATGAGTGGTATGAAGTCAATCTCACCAGTATGTTTCTCTGTAAACAGACACCAGGCACATATCTATTTATAAAGCTAGTTTAATGAAACCACTTTCTAAACTCAGTTTGAAGAAAAAAGTTCATTGAATCTCCAAGATGGAGAAATTGTGAGCTGTGAGGCTCAACAACAACACATTCAGAGTTTAGAAATGAAAGGAAGCAGAAATATGGGATTAAAGTTAATGATAGTTTAGGATCTGCTAGGGTTGTAGTTTTTAGTAGCAAGAACATTCCTGGGTTCTTGAAATCAGGAAAAATATTCTGTGAATGGCAAAGAAAAAAAGTCTGCATTATCAACAAAGTAGCCCCGAAGAGATTGTGAGATTCTAACGACCCCCTAAACTAAATGTGACTGATTTTTGAGGTTCAGTGGTATCCTTTAAAAAGCAGAGGTAGACCAATGATGAGCCTGTCCTCACACTGGTTAGACCCTATAGAGACAGAAACTCTTGATAGAAATAGAAAATTAATTGTGAACCAGAACATGGCAGAAATGAAAGAGATCTTAGTCTAATTTCCTAAGGATACTGCCAAAGAAGCGGATATTCAGCAAATTGCCAAACGTGGAGTTAGATCTACTTAGTCTTGCGCTCTATTTGCCCTTTAATATTGTGAAAGATACTGATAATCACTGATCTTGAAGGGGTCTCGAAGCTATACCGAAAGGCAGGGAACTTAATTAGAGAAGTCTTTATTCTCCCATGGATTTAACTTCTTTAGAAGTGCAACACATTTGGTGTGTGCATCCTGTGTGTGGTACCTGTGATGATGGAGGGAGATCTACTGCAACATAAAGTCAACATGCTAAATGACTGGGCCACTCCCTTAGCTGAAATGTTTCCAATTGCTTCCAATTCTGTGATAAAAATCAAAGAATGAAAGCCGAGAAACAGATTCCTTGTTACTGCATGTGTTTTGTCAATTCTATTTACGTCCTGTGGGCCAGTCTCAGGGGCTGAATTTGCTTATCTAGGAAATGGGACCAGTGACCTCAGCTCGGATTTACTTGGATGTTCTCAGGCATGCATAAAGGAAATAACACTGAAGTTCTTAGCACATAAATATTGTTATGTAATAGTGATGTCTGTAAAAATAGTTACGGATAAGCAAGAATAGAATAGTTAATAAACACGACTCTTCTAATAGTCTTATTGTTTCTACATGGTTGTCTCAAGTTTCTAAATTTCTGAACATCTCCTGAAACTGAAGGCATAGAAAAGGAAATTTAAGTGGTACAAAATGCTAGCATATGCTCACATCTACAAGCTTTCATACTGCCCTGGTTAGCAGTGAAAAAAAACCTTATCTTTTGCCTAAAGAATAAATACATTCATTCCTACAGCAATGAAAGCAGGACGGAAGATTTCATCAGAATGAAATCAGGTAGCATCAAGTGTATTCCATGTAACACTTCGCTAAACAGTATCCCTCAAACCTAACAGTATCCCTCCTAGATTTTTAAATCAGGAGTCTTTGAGGCTGGCGGGAGAGAAAAGGATTATGACTGAGAAATACTTCAGTGGAAAGTAAACTTTCCTTTAAAGAAACAAGGTCCCAATTTCTTGAGTACTGCAAGCAAAGGACTAAAGTTTTTGTAAGTTTTTTTTTTTTTTTGAAGAAACAAAGTCAAGAAATAACTTTTCTGGTGTTAAGGAAAAGCTATTGGAAATATCCCTTTCACTCCGTACACTGAAGGCACGTTTTAATTTCAGCCGTGCTAACAGATCTTCCTATAAAACAAAGAGACGAAAATTAAAAAGTGGCAGAGGCGGAACAGCTTTCGTGATGCGGCTCAAGTTCAAACTCAGCGGGTCAGAATCAGCAGTCCCGGCACCGAGCTCAGGAAGGACGGTTTAGGAGAAGCCATCAGTCAGTCAGATCCCGCTGCAGGAAGGTCAGGGCAGGGGTTGGAACCGACCCCGGAGCGCCCGAAAAAGACGGCTTGGGGGTGAAGATAGCTAGGCACCCCCGCGCAGCGAGGTAAGGGGGCACCTCGATCCCAGCTATTGCTCAGTTTAGCCAAGCCCTCCAGGAAAGCCCGGAGGGGATTTGCCTCGGGTTGGGCTCGCTGGGGGCCGTCAGCGCTCTTTAGGACCACAGGGAAACCCGAGAGTTTCTGGCTTTAGGACCCAGGAACTCCGAGGCAGCCTGACACAGATGCCTTGGACCACAGCACCACCTACTTATAGAAGCATCCCGAGCCTCAGCCCGGCAGCATCTCCCTCCGAAAGTGCGCTCGCCACATCCCTTCGGCCTCGCGGGAGCGGTCTGTCTCCCACAGCTTGGACAGGGAGAAACCGCAGCTGTGCAGTGGCTGTGGAGTAGTGCCTAGGAAATCGCACAGTTGGATAGGGACCCGGGCAGGGAGCGGCGGCGCCCGTCGCCCGAGCGCCGCGCTCACCCGCGGGGACGCAGCATCGCCGCGGCTGCGGACGCGCCCGCCCCGCCGCGCTCCCGCCGGCGCCGCCGGCCCCGCGGACCGTGGGCGCACGGCGAGCCCTCGGCGCCCGCCGCAGTCCCGGAGCCGCCGGCGCTCGCGGCCGCTGCCGGCAAACTTGTCCCCAGCCCACGTGCTAGCGAGGCGCCTCGCCGCCCCGGCCCGGCATGGAGCGCCGCGTCTAGGCAAGCCGCACCGTCCGAGACGTAAGTGCCCCAGTAGGCGACCCGCGTCCGGCCGCCGCGGCCGGGGCGCTTGTTGACGCCCTTCGTGGGACCCAAGGGCCAGAAAGGGGCCCTTGAAACCCTGCGTCCTCGGCGCGCGTTCCTTTCCCCGGAGCAGCCTTCCATACGCCCTTTCCCCCCAAGTCGGAGCCCGTAGCTCCGCAGAGGTTGCTCATTCACTGATTGTAAATCACTCTCCCCTCCAAGTCGCCGGCAGCTGTGCGCGCGTGCCAGGCGGTGGGGTCGCGCCCCCCTCCCTCCCCTTCTTAAATCGGGACGCGCGCTGAGGCGGTCGTCTCCCCGGGGCGCTCTCCACTCGGTGTCTCCTCCTCATCTCTCAGGTCCAAGGCTTGAGGGATGCTGACCGCGCCTAAGTGAGCAGCGCGGCCGCGGGGCCGGTGGCCACTCACCCTCTGCATCTTCCCCAGCAGCGCGGTGGGCGCCGGCTACTTGGATGAGCCCTTCAGTTCCCTGACTTTGGGAGGCGCCTCTCCCCGCCCCGACCGCCCAGATGCAGTTTCGCCTCTTCTCCTTTGCCCTCATCATCCTGAACTGTATGGATTACAGCCACTGCCAAGGCAGTCGATGGAGACGCAGTAAGCGAGGTGGGTCCTACTCTGCCCGAGGTGCGGGGGATCCGAGTGGGATCGAGGCGGGGGCGGGTCTCGGCGCTCACGCGGGGGCTGCCCGGCCTCGGTTGGGCAGACGGTGCCCTCCACCCGCTCTCGCGCGCCACCGTCCGTACTTTCTGGGCCCCGGAGCTCGGCGGAACGGCGTGTTTTCCGTCCTCTCCGCGCGGCTCGCTGGGGCGAGAGGCGCGGAGGGCGCCGGGGCCCCGCGGGCGCTCAGGGCTGAGGGGTGCGGTCAGTACCCGGTTCGCTCCTCAGCTCTGCTCTCTCACTCTCCCTTCTTACCGGGCATCCAGTTTTTCTAGTTCTTCTGTCTCTCTGTCTCTATTTCTTTTTGGTCCTCCAGCCCGTCTCCCGTGCGGCTCCTCCGTCTCTACCTTCCCCACCCACGTGCGCCCCAGATCACTTTGAACACCGACTAGCTGTGTGTGTGTGTGTGTGTGTGTGTGTGTGTGCGCGCGCGCGCGTGAGCGAGCCAGCGAGCGAGAGAGGGAGAGCGAGCGCAAGCTGAGGAAGGGTACCAAGTCGAGATGGAAGACCTACATTTACAGGGAAAGGGCAAAATTGACCTCTGTTTCTGGAATCTAAGACTAGCTGGGAAGATTTATTGAACTTTTGCATCGAGCAGCAACTTGTAGGCAGGGTTTCTGGGGGGCTCTGGCATTGATGTTTTGGGGACAGTGCTGACTTTGCTCTCTCCATATACTTCCCTCAAAAGTAGCCGTTTCTGTTCTCAATGAAATTCACTTGCGGCTTTTTAACCGCTCCCTTAATCTCCATCACTTGTGTGCGCTGCCGGAAAGGCAAGTGGAAGCCTCCAGAAAGATTTCAGAGAGCTAGCTTTCAGGCAGATTTACTGTGTGCCCATTTCTGTCCGAGTCCTGCTGTGGCTGCCACTAATCCAGCTGCATTTTAGGGGAAGGGCTGCTAGACACAATGAAGTCATCTGGGGGATTCAAACACTACCCCAACACACACAGTCTGTGTGTTACCCGCGCATGGGCGGTGCAGAGCAGCCCCTTAGAACTGTCTTCTTCTAGCAGTTTGGACTTTAGCACAGATAGAATTTATCTTGAAGTTAACAAATTTTGATCCCCCCCCACCCGCAACCCCGGGAAATAAATGTCGCACTCGACATGTGATGTGATTTCTCTAGAACTCGTTGAATGGAATCTCCGGTCCTGCACCCAGAGTTTGGAGAGACCTCTTCACGCCCTAATTTTTCATAGCATTTTAGGACGTCATTAAGCTGGAGATGGGCGAGCCCAGCGGCAGAGCTCAGGGTAACTGGTGGTGTGCGATTTCAATAACCTCTGCGCTCCAATTGCTATGGATCTGTGGTTTTTAAAAAGGCCACCCCTTTATCTTTTTCCCATTTCTGGCATTTGGAAAATGCTTATTTTCAGTAACCATTCCGCATAAAAATGCTGGGAGAAATTTCTTCCCAAAGGCCAGGAAAGTTTAATATTGATGTTAGTCCTGAAAAAGTCCTTTTCGGTCTCCTCCTCCACTCCCCTCCTCACTGCCTCCTTTCTCCACCTGCTATTTTCTTTTGAGGTATTATTCGCAGGTAATTTTTTTGGTTACACTGCGGTCAAAAGTGTTTGGTGAGGCTTTCTCCCCACGTACAAGCACAAGATGCAGCCTACTTGGTTGGAAAAAAAGCTGAGGTGCTTAACGTTTGTGCAAATACAGAAATTTTAAGATGCTTTGCCAGCTTCTTAGGTGACTTCTTAATCCCGCGAGGTCTTTCTGATCCACACTACCTGTCCCATTGTGGCCGAGTGAGGAAGAAGGAACAGAGCGTTTTAGTACTTAAACCGCGAAGCTGGATGGAGGACATTACAGCACCCCTTGCGGCCAGAAGCTGTATTGCATGCGTTTCCCTCCTGCTACGTCTAAACTTGGCCCTGCGCCGCCTTCGGTAACTGAGGCAAAACCTATTCATCTCAAAGCTGCTTGGCAAAATCTCATTGGAGCAATTACCCTCCATGTCCCCAAGTGCTGACACTTAGAAACCCAATTCTAAAGCGTGCGATAGTAACTTTTGCCAAACCAACCTTTCAATTTAATAAAACTCAACTGTTTTCAAGTTTGTAAATTGGTAAGGTTGTAAAGAAAAAATTTTTTTTATCAAACTTTGCTTTTTCTCTTCCCTATCTTCTTAATAGATGTCCCCTCCGAAATTCCAAGTTTCTGGCTAAAATAACTCTGGCTTTTAAAAGTGGCCACACTATCTGTGCCAACAAAGGGTGTACTGTGTTTTTAATTAAAAGTGGAACTACTTGAAGGCCTGGCTAGACAGCACAGGGTGATAGTAGCTTTTCTGCTTTGCAGGGAAGCTTAAGGATTGCATTGTGAGCGTATTGAAATGAATAGAGATCTAACTCAGGTTGTGTGAATTGTCCCTCTTCACAAACTTAAGCTGGTTTTAATTGATCTCCTGTCCACCGATTGATTCTACACCGATTGTTGCACCTACCAAACAATTGGCTTACCCAAAGGAGATGGATTTAAATTAGTTCCTTGGTGAATGCTTGACCACTAGCCAAATCATGTCAGCAGTGACAGTTGACACACTAGAGCCTATTGTGGTACCAACATTTCCCCTTTTCCCTTTGTTTTGGATAGTGGCAGTTAAATATTACTTTCTAGAGAGAAAAGTGATTAGTACCTTTTTTTTTTTATTCCCTCTCCCCAAAAGAAGTGTTGTGGCTTAGAAGATCAGTTATTTTTTTGGCTTTGTGCTACTGTTCAGGCAGCAGTGATCCCGGGATTGGTTAGGCTGATGCCTGCGAGCTGATGCTTTTATTTTTTTCTTCTTCCATATTCCATCTGCAAATAATCAAGCCTTCACTGTGGAGCACTCTCAGAACTCCTTTGGCATTATGTTTAGTCTGCTCTGATCTCAGATGCTCTATAATATCATTTTCTTAATGAAATAAAATTCTTGGCAGAGACTAGATAATTTAGTCAGTTAAAATCAATTGCATCCAGTTTGGAATAGAGAGCAAATATATCATTTAACTGTATGTTCTATTTCAGAATATAGCCAGAGGACTGAGAGAATAGAATGTCAACCTTCCCATTTTGGGCCAAACCTAGTACTTGGGGGAGACCACCTTAAACCATAATACCTTCACTCGTTCTTCCTCTTCTTTAGAAAACAAAATCCTAAAATAAAGATGTATTTGATAATCATTCATAGGCCCTGGTGGCAAGAATTTTTAACTAGGCACAAACACAATAGAGAATGAATATCGTGTACAGAGAAGACCCATGCCAACGTTATGAAAAGCTGATCACTCACACTTTGTCTACAGTGTGATAACAGTTGTAACTCCTTGGCCCCCTCACCCCTCCCTTTTGTTCAAAAGCATGGTCATTATTAGCTACTGTTAGCCCCCACTGCCTGGACCTGACTTGGAACCACTTATGATTTATTTGTATGCTAAACTGGGTTGATCAGTTTCATTTTTTGGAATGGTTGCAAGCCATATTTCAGGCTGACTTACTGAAAGGTGGATAGACAAATTATAACTTTATTATGGTTTTAGGGATGTCTTGAGCTTGGAATGCAGTGATTTAATTTTCTATCTCCTTCATTCTGTTTGTATGCCCGATTACATTTCAATCAGGGATTTATGAAAACTTTTTGATGACTCTTTAAAAGCAGGAAGACTCCCAGATATGTAGTTGGTGTTTCTGGTGGTCAGTTGGTAGGGGGCAGAGTGTGACCAGGGTTTCTTACCTAGCCTTGTCCACACTAAAGTCTCGGCTTCTCCCTCCATAACCGCTCCCTTTCCCTAAGATTAGATTTGTCTTCCTGGTCTTCCTGTATGAAATAGAAGTGTTTATGACAAATAGCGTGGTATGTTTCTGGTAACCGAGGTTGGTGACCTACACTTTTTCTCTTCAGTGTTATAGAGCTAAATAAAAACTTGATGAAGAGATTGGAGATACTTGGTTTTACAAGTACTTTTATGCTAGCTTATTTCTCAATGGTATTCTTTTAAAAATATAAACGGCACATGGGACATACCTACACTTAAATGAAAAATGATTTAAAATGTTTTGTATATTAGCTTTTTTAAGTTTCAGAGCATTTCAGAAAATCTCCTGTGATGTTTAACTTTGCATATAAATATATTCTTTCTTTTTTGTTAATGGGTTGTTTTGTTCTTCTAGCATAATTCTGAGTTTTTCTGGTGAGTGTCTTAACAGTGCACAGAGGTTAAAAAACGGCTGTGTCTCAACCAACATTCTGTTATGCTACTGAAATTTGGAAGTGATTCAGAATAGGTGATGTTCCCTCAGGCCTCCATTTAATTCTGGCTTTCTTTATCTGCTTATAAATCCAGCTTGGTTAGAAGCCAATATTTGTAGGAATCACAAGTTGGAAATGACCCTTCTAATTCCTTAATGCAAAACCATCTCTTGATTTATTCAGAGATGAAATGGCCAGTTTTTGGATTATCCAGGATACATTTTACTTCATTCCTTCCAACTGACTGCCTTTTAAACCTTCCCCTTCCCACCCCTCGGGGATCAGCACCCTTACCCCTCCTAAGTGCAGAAAATAAATGACAGCCAAATCATTTGATAAAACACGTGATAACCACTTTGTTATAAGGGGATGATAAGCTCTGGGATGAAAATAGTTTTAAATTTCCCCCTTCCCCTGCCCCCCACCGAAATGTCATGATCACTTTTTCCCATTATCTGCAACAGTCAAGGATTGATCATTAGGTACAGTGTTACATGTCCATATTTACACATTTTCATAATTTTAGCTGGAATCAATATGGAAGATGTTAATTATGGGAATTTATGAAATAAATATGGAAGGTGCTAACTAATGCTGAAGAGCACATATAATGCATATAATTATATATGTACTAGGGAAGAGATATATATACATGTGTAGGTGTATGTGTTTTCTTGGGTGTGTAGAAAAAGAGGTTGGGGATGGTATG